TTTTTTTTTTTTTTTTGAGACAAAGCCTCAAGCTGTCTCCCTGGGTAGAGTGCGGTGGCATTACAGCTCACAGCAACCTCCAACTCCTGGGCTCAAGCGAGTCTCCTGCCTCCGCATTGTTGTTTGGCGGGTCCGGGCTGGATTCGAACCCGCCACCGTAGGTGTACGTGGCTGGCGCCTTAGCGGGTCTGTCTCAGCGGTGTCAAGGGCGGTGGGGAGGCGCTCAGGTGTCATTACCACTTGCATGAAAGGGTAAGGAGGTTAATTAGTTTCAATAGTTCAATACTCTATAGTTCAAATAGTTTAAATTCTCTATCTCCAGCTGGTCTCCAGGGTATGAAGAGAGTGGGGACGAAGATGTAAAGCCTCTAACAAATTAGGAAGAAAAGATATAGAAATAAAAAATTTCCCTCTTCCTGTGTCTAGTTTATCGTTTTGCTATCTGGAAGTCCTGCATTGGGTAGCCTTTAAAGGCTCAGCTTCCAGATCTAGGCTCTGGTGCTGGGCACGTAGGGGTGGTCCCTCTTCACAGGCTCCACAGCAGGAGGCCCTTCTGCGGCTGGATTCTCAGGCAGCTCCCACCAAGCTGGGCTGCTGGAGCCCGAGCGCTGCGCGTCCGGCCTTTAATCCCAGCGAACCTAGGACCCGGCCGCTGCCAATAGCCCTGGCCCCGCCTCTCCGCACATCAGCGCTTTCGATTGGCTCCGGGCGGTACGGCTCCGCCTCCGCCATGGCGGCCGCCTGCCGCCGAGGCTGCTAAGTGGCTGCCTGGGTACTGGTCTTCGCCGTCCCTCCCTGGCTGCTGGGTCCGCTGGCTCGTGGTGCATGGGCCTGCTCCGAGGCTGGCCCCCATGCGCTCGGGCCATGGCGCGCCTGAGTGCTGTGCGCTCCCACTACTGCGCCCTGCTGCTGGCTGCGGCGCTTGCCGTCTGTGCTTTCTACTACCTAGGCTCGGGCCGGGAGACCTTCTCCAGCGCCACCAAGAGGCTGAAGGAGGCCCGTGCAGGGGTCCCTGCCGCGCCCTCGCCGCCTGCGCCGGAGGTGATGCGGGGCTCAGTGGCAACTGCCCCCGGCGCCAAGGCCAAGAGCCTGGAGGGTGGGGGAGCCGGGCCGGTGGACTACCACCTGCTGATGATGTTCACCAAGGCGGAGCACAACGCCGCGTTGCAGGCCAAGGCCCGTGTCGCTCTTCGCTCGCTGCTGCGCCTCGCCAAGTTCGAGACGCACGAGGTGCTTAACCTTCACTTCGTGAGCGAGGAAGCCAGTCGTGAGGTGGTCAAGGTCCTGCTGCGGGAGCTCCTGCCGCCCGCCGCGGGCTTCAAGTGTAAGGTGAGCGGGGCTGCGGCCAGGGACTCCCGGTGGGTGGCCCACTCGGGTGTAGGTGAGGTCCATGCGCGCCCCCGGCAGAGCTCCAGGGGTTGAAAGGTAGAGTCTTCGCTGCCCTGCCCACTTGCAACGCCTGTGACCTAACTCCCTTCGCCCTTCAAAGCCTAAATGTGTGTTCACAGCTTGCCTGAGGCCTTGCCCGGGGGCGTGTCCGGCAGCCAGAAGCTCTTACCTGGTGCAGGAGCGAAGCTGCAGTGTTAAACGGACCTGAACACCCTTGGGTTCCTCTCCCCTACTTCCAAATAAGTGCAGCCCCCTAGAGAATCAGCATGCCCCCTTTTTCTAGTGTTGTAGGGTTCAGCAGTGCCTTCAGAGACTGTGCCTCTTTTTATACTCCTCAGTCTTTGACTTTGAATAGGGGAAGGCACCATTAGTCGCTCCATGCCAAGTCTGCTGGACAGGGTCTTGGTGAGGCCTCTGGATATGTTTAAGTTGCAGTGACATTTCTCATGGCTCTTGAGGTATTTCGGTGGGATCTGGTCAAATCTAGTGTGAACCATCTCATCTCCTCTCTGTGTCCCCTTCTTCTCTGCCCTGAAGGGTCATGAACCCATTAAGAGAAACCGGCTAAGTGAGGAAGGGAAGCTGTATAAGGAAAAGCAATGATCTGAGGAGAGCACAACTAGCCACATTGTCCCAGCCTGGACCAACCTGCCACCGCGGCCGCTCACATCTCTCCCCACTGTTTCACTTCACTGCCTGGCCCTGCTTGTTCAAGACTGGGTTCCTGACGTGATGCTAATTACTTCATTCAAATTGTTTGCCTCATTTTGACTTAATAATTGTACAGCAGGAATCCATGGGATTTTTGGATAAGGTGTAATAGATGATCTAAAGGATGGAGACTGATGTTGTTTGGGGAAGGAAGCTAAGGCTATGACTGAGTGAGTGACTAAGGGGAGCTGCTGCCAAGGTCCTGCAGGATTCAGGAGTCCTCAGTGACTCCTTGTTGCCTAGAGGGTCAAGTCCCAATTTTTAGGGCACTTTGTGTTATGAGCCTGGCCCTTCTTTCTGGCTTCCTCTCCTTCTTTACATGAACCTTGTATCTTAACTGTAGCGAAGGCATATTTACACAAGCTGTACTTTCTGCTCAGAAAGTTTCTTAGGCCCTTGACCGCTCTTTACTCAACTTTCACCTTCCTCAGAATGTTCCTGGACTGAGGACTGTTGCCCCCAACTCTCCACAGCTCTTGGTTCCTGCTTTCTCCATTACATCCTAGGCCAATGTTTTTCCCTTTGTGCCTCATTTGCCCTTTAAGGAGCCCTTCTCTCTTGTAAGAAAGGGTCCAGAGCAGTGTTTTTCAAGTTTTTTATCTCATGGCACACTTGAACCTATAAACTTCTGTGGCATGCTTCAATTGTGCTGATCAAAAAAAAGAGTAAAATACCTTTTTTGATTTATTTATTAACACAAACAAAATGCACCCTTATAGCCAAAGAATAAGACGAAACAACTTGTTATAATTTGTAATAAAAAGATAACAATTAAAATCTTAAAGAACTTACTTATATTTATTGTTTTTCTGTTTATTATAATTTAGCATTTAATGAGATATCCGCACTTGACTTTTTTTAGATTATTTTCTTTGCAAGGTCAAAATTTTTTTTTTTTTGACAGAGTCCTAAGCTGTTGCCCTAGGTAGAGTGCCATGGCATCACAGCTCACAGCAACCTCAAACTCTTGGGCTTAAGCGATTCTCTTGCCTCAGCCTCCCAAGTAGCTGGGACTATAGGCGCCCGCCACGATGCCCGGATATTTTTTGGTTGTAGTTGTTGTTTGGCAGGCCCCAGGCTGGATTTGAACCCACCAGCTCTGGAGTATGTGGCTGGTGCCCTAGCCACTGAGCTATAGGCATCGAGCCAAGGTCAAATTTTGGACAGGCATATTCTTAAATCTTCTAGCTGTGATTGATTTTTGTTTTTACTATTAATCATTACAGAAAAACTCTGTCACAAATGTGACAGTGAGAATGGACGAGGTATTTCTATTACTTTTTTTGTAATATTTGGAAATTCTCCCTTGAGAGATAACCAACATGCTGTAATATCTTCTTCTGTAATATTTAAATTTGCTGACATACACTCACTTAAAACAAAGGGATTTCTCACCCAATCCAGAGATGTTATGTTGAGGTAGGTGCAGGAAAATGCTTTTCAAAATTTATGTACAATAGGGCGACGCCTGTGGCTCAGAAGGGTAGGGCGCTAGCCCCATATGCTGGAGGTGGCAGGTTCAAACCCAGCCCTGGCAAAAAAAAAAAAAAAAAAAATTGTGTGCAATTAATCTAAAGCTTGTAAATTTGTTCAATAAGATTTTTATCCCGTTTACACCTTTTTACTAGTTCAACCATTTCTACTACATTTTCTCTTTTAAGCCTTTCCTTCCAAAGCAGTAATTTTTCTCTGAAAGTATTAATTTTACCTGTAGATGTGAAAATATTTTCATGATTTCCCTGCATCCTCTTAAGAGTATTCAAACACGGAAATAAATTTGCAAGAAATGCAGCTTTATGACACCAAACCTTGTCATAAAAAGGCAATACTTCTTTTAATTGATAAAATCTTGACAGAACCCTTCCTCAGGATAACCATCTCACCTTTGTGTGAAGTGAGAGCTGCATATGAGAAGCATCCACTGAGGAACGGAATTCTACAAGTAATCTTGATTGCAGTCGCCTGCTTTCTATATAGTTGATACTTTTAATAGTGCATTATAGGACCGTTTGTAATTCAGGCGCTAATGATTTTGATGCTAGCACTTTTTTGTGTAGAAAATAGTGCGTAAACATAATTTTTGGATTTTTTTTTTATTTTGGTTTTTTTTTTTTTTTGGTACAAGTGTAACAAATCCTTTCATGCCTCCAGACACAGATGGGGCTCCATCATTACAAATACTTATGCAGGAATCCCAAGACAAGTTACTAGATTAAAGTAATTACTGATCAAAATATCTTGGCCCTTTGTTGTTGTTTGGAGTGGCCAACAAAATAAAAACTGTTCTATGATTTCTTCTTTATAGACAAATCTACCGAATGCTAAAAGTTGGGGTGTACCACTGATATCAATAGATTCAGCCAACTGAATTACAAACGTGTTTACTTCTCTGAGGTGAAATATTACTTGAAATTCTATATTTTCAGGGAAATCCTTAACACACCAAGAAATTGTATTATCTGAAAGTGGAATTTTAAAAATTTCCTTTTCGTTTTCTTCTCCAAATGTTATCTTTACAATTGCACAGGCTCGTAAAATGATGGATTCTGCAATTGTACAAGATTTCATTTTCCTAGCTAGGATTTCTGCAACTGTGTAACTCACTTCTTGTGCTTTATCTGATATCATTTGCATATTGGGTCCCTATTTTTGCTTATTTAGCATTACTGAGTGCAAGTCCTTTGAAATATTCCACTGGCGGGTGGCACCTGTGGCTCAAAGGAGTAGGGCACTGGCCCCGTATGCCAGAGGTGGTGGGTTCAAACCCAGCCCCAGCCAAAAACTGCAAAAAAAAAAAAAAAAAGAAATATTCCACTGGCTTTTCCGACAAGTTCGAATTTCTAGATCATAAATGTCTCTTAAGTTCGCAAGAAACCATAGCCTCCTTTGCTCATGTTTCACCACAAATTAACATGCGTGGAACGTGGTAGATTTCCTTTACTACAAATGAAACTGAATGATAAATAATCATATTGATAACTAATTGTTTTTCATTTAGTTGCTGATGTACTGGACAAAGCAGTATTCAACGCACTAGTGTTGTCTTCTAATTTTTGTTTCTTTACTAAAAGCGTATCCATTTTAATTGAACACTATGTAATAAAAATAAAAAAAATCAAATCAAAAATAAACTCATACTTTTAAAAAACAAATACAGGTATTAATTAAATATACTTGGAAAACTTTCAAAACTAGGATTTGCAAGGAAATTGTGTCCAACTATTTTAATTCCAGACAGAACTGTATGACACATTCAGTATAAGCTCCACCTCCTTGCTACTTGAGGTACACTGAAGGGCCTCTGAGTCACACTGCTTCCTTCAGTTTGGATGACTTTGACTTATTTTGGTGTTCATCAGCAAATCCTTGTCAAATTGTGCCATCAATGGCCGTGTCTCTAGACGCTATTTTTCTTTTTCTTTTTGCAGTTTTTGGCCTGGCTGGGTTTGAACCTGCCACCTCCAGCATATGGGGCCAGCGCCCCACTCCTTTGAGCCACAGGTGCTGCCCTAAATGCTATTTTTCAAGGCTACACCCCACCCACTTTAGAAATAAGCCAGTGTTTATTTATTATAACAATAAAATGTTTATTATAACAATGCTATACTTGTATAATCAGTTTTAAAAGGTTTTAATTTTGATATGTACACTTGATGTACTTTAAACTTCTTTCAAAAATAATTTAATGTTTAAAAATTTTCGAGGCTCACCTTAGATCCTCTTGTGGTACACTGGTTGAAAAGTTACTGGTCCAGAGGGTGGTGTAAATTAACTTGTGTTTGAACACCTTGGGAAGAGGAGGGGAGCTCCTTGCCCACCCATGAACAAATAAGCCGGTCACAGACATCACTGTGGTTAGAGAAGGGCACGGGGGCTGGACTTTGTGCTGTAGGTGGCCAGGAATCCAGGCCTTAGAGCTTGTGGGTGAAGAGGCCCTTGGCACTCACTATCTGACTTGGGGTTTTCAGCTTAGGGCCCATCCTGATTTATCTAATTGGAATCTCTGGAGGTGGGACCTGGCAACCTGTCTCAAGTGATTTTAAGGACTCTAATATTTGAAAAACTTTGCCCTAGAAAGCTGAGACCCTTCACCACAGGGCCTGTGTAGGCAGATCTAGGATTTGACCAGGTCTCCAGATGCCACCTTGAAGACCAGCATTGTCATCTCTTCACCTTCTGAGTCAGAGGGAGCAAGCTAGGCTCACTGTACACCCTTGCCAGATCTCGGC